GGGGAATGCAAGTTGGAAAAGCAGGCTGACAAGCGAGGGACAGGGATAGGGAGAGACAGCTTTGAGTAAGTAAGTGAGAGACACATTGCACATAACTGTTTTGTGCGACTGTGTCTCACTCTGCGTGTGTGTGTGTATGTGTGTGTGTGTGTGCCGGTCGATAAACAAAAATGACAGCCACAAAAACAACAACTGGAAGACTGCGCAGTTGGTACCCGCAGCCACCACAGCTGATAGCGTCGCCGTCGCTGTCGCCGTCGGCGTTGGCGTTGGCGTCGCTGTCGCCGTCGCATTTGACTCATTAAATATTTTGCAACCTTGACCGTTCGAGAGCGATTAAAATGTGTGCGTGTGTGCGAGTTGTATCTGCATTTTGTGCTGTAGGCATACGTGTGTGTGTGTGTGTGTGTTGCTATTGTTATTATTATTATTATTTGTATTTATGTTTTTATTATTATTATTATTATTGTTCTTGTGTGTCATGCAAAACGACAGACGGCAACTTGAACAAAAATACAACATCTACAAAATAAAAAACAACGACAAAGAGTTCACGTAAAAACGACTATTGTAAGCCGAAGCTTAAAATACCCTTATAGACCAGACCACAGCCCCCCGCTTAGGGGTAGATTTTAAGAACCGACCCATATATGATTTACTGCATAACTCATTTTTCGACCGATTATTCATTGGAAAGTTAAAAGATATAGTCAAATATGCGAATTACTAGTTTGCATAGAAACAGGCAGACGTAAATCGACTTGGCTAGTAATACTGATCAAGACTATATATATACGTATACTTAATAGGGCCATTAACGCATCTACTTCAATGCGTTACAAGCTTGATGACAAACTAATAATAGGCTCTGCAAGGGCATAAGAAGTAGAACAGAAAGTGAAGTGACTGCAACTGGACTGTATGGCAAATATAATGATTATGATATCTATATATATATACTATATATACTTATATACATACGTATACATCTAAGCAATAAGAAAAAGTGGAACAACCAGTTAGTCTAGATGCCATTTTCCAATTGACTGGTTTAGTCATCTGTAGTTTTGTGTCTTGGGTATTCAGTTTTTGTGGTAGCAAATGTCATTAATTTAAACCTATAATTAAATAATACTTAAGCTCAAACAACGATTGCAATGTGCAATGCTTGTCAAAATTGTAGTTACAGGAGGGGGGTGCGTTGCATAACAATAGGGGTATTCTTGCAATATAATTATTGCTGCATTCAGAACAGATCGTGCTTATAATTATAGCTAAGATATCTTTATCGCCCCATTCTTCATTAGAGGGTGTCTTACGGAATAAGAAAATAAAAATAAAAAACTTAAAAAAAAGGAGAAGAAGAAGACGGAGTGCAGCGTTTGAACGTGAAATACTTTATTTGCTGTTATTTATTTATTTATTTATTTGTTCGCTGTTGCGGCGGTTGTTGTTGTTCTTGTAGCTGTTTTTTTTTTTGTTGTTGTTTCTTGTTGGGCATTGTTTATGCCGCTGCCTCGAGTTCAATGCAAATATTTGGACAACGACAGGAAACGCGTCAACAACCCAAACCAACAACAAAATAAGTGAAATTATAGAAGCGAAGGGGGTGTTTGTTGTCAACGAGAAACAAGTGAGAACTTTTGCAGGCAGGCTCAAACGACTGCAAGATACACTGAGGGAAAACAAGTATTACAAAAACCTTGCCTGAGCTAGAGTGATATAGATATATGCTTTTATCGATTTGCACCTATCGAATGTTATCGATTACTCTCCCCCATTTAGAAATTATGAAGTGTCTCTTTTTGAATCGAATCACGATACCTCTGGTAGTGCTCCAAAGTACAGAAAAGGCTGTTGGGGGAGGTGGTGGTGGGGGTTGGGGGTTGGGTGTTTATCATTTAAAAGGTTAAATATCTCCTATGACATTTCGCATGAACTCTAATTGCCTGTGCAATTGTTGTAATAACATTTTGCTTTGCCTAGGAATACACACCCCCAATACCCTCACCAGCGAATGGAACCCATCATTAAATGTCCATTAGGCTTACTCCTCCCTCCCGCTCCCTCCACACACACACACACCCCTTAATTTATTCCACCACGTACATATACCCGGTTCGCAACACACAAATTGGATAGCGAATGGGTGATTTGTCTATGGGGCGAACATCAATCAATTGTTCATTTAAAAAAGAAAATTACGACTGAATTTAAACGCTATAATCATAATAAGCGAGAATCGGGTAAATATACCTAACAAAAAAAATAGGAAAAAAAAGTACGATTCTATTTATTGAATTTGAAGTAAGCTCATCTCTGATTTCGCATATAGTTATAAACATTTTAATTATATTTAGCATTTTAGAGATTAGAGCTTATCAACAAGCTACACAATTTGAAGCTACAATTTTAAACAATCTACAGAGTAAAATTCGACTCTTTATAATCGGTTTTAAATTTATACAGTGATCATAAAAATTACGGTTCGAATTTGAGACAATTCTACTTCTATATTCTGTTTTAAATCAATTTCGAATTACAAAACTTGGCTTCATCATCATGAACATAATTATCCTCATCATTATAATTTTAACCATCTACTGGTTCTTGTTCTTGTTCTTGTTCTTACAAATCTTTCATTCATTCGTTGAGAGCTTTTGACTTTGGTTTTTGTCGGTGTACTCAGCTAAACGACCTTTGCAAATTACTAAATGAAAACCCGTTCCCCCCTAAGTCTAACCAAGTCTTTAGCCGAGTTCCATCCCCCCTCCCCATCCAACGTCCCGCGCCCCACTTTCGATTCCAATTTCCCGCATTTTGCCACCACTTCATGACTTCATGACATTTTGCAGTCCGTAGACTTCTTTTGCGGTCGTCCGTTGTGTGCCGCCATTTAGCTCTCTAATTGCTGTCATTCAGGCAAAACAGAGACAGAGAGACGCAGAAAGACAGAAAGAAAGAGAGAGAGAGAGAGAGAGAGAGAGAGAGAGAAAGAAGCGTAGTTCTTGTTATTATTGCCATATACCCCGGTATATCGGCAATTCGGCAGGGAGTTTACGCACTATGCTCTACTTTTAAGAATAGAGAGAGAAACAAGAAAAACAAATTAATTTAAAAACAAGCACAAATTTGCACAGGTAATCCGTCAAATATTTTCTTAAAAGCTGCTTGTGGGATTAAAGCATTTTTGGATTAAGATTAAGTGTCGCTTGCATAGATTGAATGTGTAGCATGCAGCTCGGCACACAACATACCAACTACTTACTAACGATGAGAACAGAACAGAGTATTGTACAATCGGTCGGTTGGTTGTTCTTGTTCTTGTTCTTGTTACTGTTACCGTTCTTTCTTTTACGGTTGTCTGTTTTGTCGTTGCGGCAGGTCAATAGTGTCAAATTACGTATAATTATTTTTAACTTAGACAAACGTGTTAACGTGTTGTTAACTCTCTCTCTCTCTCTTTCTCTCTATTTCGCTCCTTCTCCCTCTTTCCCTCTTTGAATAATTAGCCACCCAACTAGCCCGCCCCCTCCTCAACCCCTTGAAAGCCTTGTAGTCGAACCAAAGTGACTTTGTTGCGCTTATTACTAACAACATTTTGTGGACTTTAAACACATGTTCTGCTGCTTCTTCTTGTTCTTCTGCTTTTGTTTTATTGTGTTTTATCATGCTGCTCTCTGCTCCTCTTCTGCCCACTCTCCACACTTCAGTTCACTTCACTCGATTCAACACACAACACACACACACACACACACACACACACAGAGTCGACTCACTTAGTCATCGTCATTGTCTTTTGTCTTTGTCTGTCTTTTAAGTGCTTCCCACTTGTACGTTTGCCTAACCGCAAAGCTAGCAACCGCAGAAAATAACAACAACAATGACAGCAGCTACAACAGCAACTATTACTGCTGTAATAACACTACAGCAACTACAATGAAAATACATTTTTGCGACTGTTGTCTTTCGCTTTCCGGGTCGCTCTCTGTCTCTATCTCAATCTCCATCTCCATCTCTCTCGCTCTCTGTCTCTCCCTCTCGATGTGACTCTGTCCAAGCGGCTGTCTGTCATTCTGTAAATTTCTGCTATTTTCTGTCCTCTTTCGACTAGCTTCCATCTACATATATTAAATCGTTTGAATAGATGTTACTACACAAAATTTATGCATAGCTCCTCTGATAATTAGTTAGCTATATATATGTAGGTAGATATTATATTATTTACCCATATATATACATATAGAAGTTAACTTTGAAGGTCGGCAAATTCTGAATTCAAATTTTTGATCGAATCTTACGTGAGTTTCTTGAGCTTTTTTAATTGTTGCTTGCTTGTTTGTAGGTTGTATAATTTTAATGGAATTACCAAGGCTGAGTCCGTGCAATGCTCTATAATGAACCAGATGCACACACACACAAATATATATATATATAAAGTAGATTTCTTCTTTTTTGGCGGGGGGCTGCCCAACCTTGAAGCGTAGTGCCAACAGTATCTTCGGAAACATTTGGGTCACTTATAGGTTATTAACCATTTCAAGTTCAAATAAGTGTTGTTCAAGTCAACAATGATCGCGGATAGCAACCACAACAATCGAAATCGATAAATTACACAAATATATGTAGGGCATGAGCGTATATGTATATGTACCACAAATGGGCTCATTTATATTAATTTATCCTAAAGTTGGGAACTATATCCAATTTGCAATTTGTATGCATTATAATGAAAAGATTATGATTGATATCCCCCCCCCCCCTCCGTTTGCAAATAAAAATCTATATTAATAAATTATCAATACAACACATATATCGATATCATTAGTAATCGTTATCGGTAATATCGATAAAGGAAACTTATACCAAACGCGTTAATCGATATACATATTAATCTGGTTTATTCAATTTTACTTGCATCTCGCTTTTTTCTCCTTCCTCATCTCTCCCCCTTCTCTTTCCCTATCTATCTCTCTCTCTCTCTCTCTCTCTCTCTCTCTCTAGCTAATGAGGTCAAAGTCTGTTTTATTATGATCCACAAATATTTACCGCCTCGTATTACTTTTACGCTGATAATCTGCACATCCCGCTGTTCCCCCAATCCAACCGCCGACTCCCAACATCAGTCACTAAATTATTCTACTTCTTATCAGCAATATATGTACATATATATATATATATATATATATACAAATATATATATGTATGTATTCTTCCTCTCAGCTTATCGCTCTGCACTGCAACACTTACTATTTGGGTTGCTGCTGCTGGGCCACAAAGCCGCTTATCGCCAATAACTGAAGCGAGAGATAGATAGAGAGAGAGAGAGAGGCAAAGGAGAATAGTCTGGGGGGAATAAGCGAGAGGGGTGAGAGGTGAAGCTTGTCGCTTGTCAATGGCCGCGAATAGCGCGAATGCAAACAGGAAATGAGCTACTAGCTGCGGAAATGTGCATTTGTGTGTGTTGTGTGTGTGTGTGTGTGTGTTGTGTGTGTGTGTGCAAATTGGGGAGTATTATTGTATTATTATTGAGTATTACAAGGGTCGCTTGCGCTTAAGTACACACCACAGATTGCAAAATTATCGAAATTACAGTCTTACCTAATACATTGAGCTGAAAAAAGTAAATGTTTTTTGCACTAATTTTAATTGTTTTTGTTTTTTTTGGAGCGAATAAAATTAAGTTGCACTCACTAAAAAGAGTGATTAGGAGAAAACTTGTTAGGATTTTCTTTTTATAAGCTGAACCCATTAAAAATGGGTAAAAAGGGTTTAAATGGTTTTGTGCAAATGTATGTAACAGGCGGAAGGAAGCATCTCCGATCTCATAAACTATATATATTCTTGATCAGGGTCAATAGCCGAGTCGATATAGGCATGTCCGTCTGTCCGGCCGGCCGTCCGTCCGTCTGTACGAACACGCAGATCTCAGAGACTTCAAATTTGGAATATAGTTTCTCGTTTACCAGGCGCAGGTCAAGTTTGCTTTATTTTTATCGAAAATTATCTCTGTTTCTCGATTATCGATACATTTAAATTTCCGATAGCAATAAATGCTACCATTTTAAAGGCAGAATCTTCTAATTAATACATAATATGCATATAATATTATTGATCATAATATTATTTCATCAAGATCTGATAAGAAAGACCTAAGCTATAGCCGAGAATATATTATTATTATAATGATCTCATTTCTATCAGTGTTGAGTCTATATATTTATATATATATATATGTATAAATATTCACGTGTGTATTGGGGCCCATTTTGCTCACATTTTGGTAAAGCGGAGTCGAGCTCACTCGACTACAGCACTCTTGCTTGTTTTAAACATTCATTTTGTAAAGCTCTGCAAATACTAAATTCATCTATTTTCAATAAAATAAATTCTCTGGACTAGATTGGTTAGATGGTTCACGTTTCGAATCACTTCGGTTCGTGCAACAAATTTTTTAAATTCTTGACATTTTACTTGGAACATTGGCTGTTTACCAGATTATCTTTGGTAAATATCTATACATGTGTCACACAATTCATAAAAGAAGCCTCAAATCTGAATAAATATATGTATATATATATTTTTGAGAACAGATTTGAACTGGTTCAACTACTGATTATAAATGATGTATATTATTATCACCGTGACCACTAAACATTTAAATATAAATTAGATGATGATAGGGGGGCCAATTGAGAGTCTATAATACACTATATATAAGTAAATATATTTATATATATAGGTATATATTTATATATAGGTATATATTTATGTATATATATATATTTATATATGCTTAGTAAGTAGGATGTTCACCTATGAATTTGGGTTCCACTCGCGATGCGCTGTTGATACGACATATTTGCACTTGTTGCTGCTGTTGCTGTTGTTGCTTTTGCGTTGTTTTGTTTGGCTGCTGCTGTTGTTGTTGTTGTTGCTGGTGCTGTTGAAGCTGCTGATTAGACGCTGCTTGCTGCTGAGGATGTTGCTGCTGCTGCTGCTGATGATGTAAATGATGGGACGTTGGTCCATTATCATGCACTTGATGCGATGCTGCTGCTGCAGCAGCAGCGTTTGCTGCCGCACTGTGTTGCTGCTGTTGCTGTTGATTGCTGGCAACACGTTGCTGTTGTTGTTGTTGCTGCTGTTGTTGTTGTTGCTGATGATGATGGTGATGATGAAGCTGTTGCTGTTGTTGCTGATGTTGCTGTTGCAATTGCTGCTGATGTTGCTGTTGCTGCTGCTGTTGTTGTTGTTGTTGCTGTTGTCCACCGTTTGTGGCGTTGTTTGTGGGCGGCGGAGCACCGACCTGCACTGAAGAGGAGCGTATAGCTGCTTCCATTTCATGCCGAACTCTTTTGGCTTAAACACTTGTTGTTGCGCCCAGAAGTTGATATTGTTGCTGCTGCTCTTGTTGTTGTTGTTGTTGTTGTAAATGTAGTGTTGCTGTTGCGATTGCCGTTGCTGTTGCTGTTGTAATTATCACTGAGCTGCTTGCATGCAACAGCATTGCGCTGCAACATATTCACAACATGCGCCAAAGTTTCACTTGTTACTGTTTGTTGTTGTTGTTTGTTGTTGCTGCTACTGTTGTTGTCGTTGTTGTTGTTGTTGTTGCTGCTAACACTGTTTGTTGCTGCTGTCAACAAAACAGCAACAACAATGAGCTGGTGCGCTTACAAGACGCCATGCAGCAGCTGCTGCGCATTTCAATTTGTTGTTGTTGTATTAATTATTAATATTATTATTATTATTATTATGTTGTTGTTGTTGTTGCTGCTGTTGTTGCTGTTGCTGCTGCTACTATTTTTGTATTACTAAATTAAACATTTGCCTATATTTACACACACACTGCGACTGCTGCAAGAAAAACAGATAGGGGTTGGGGGAAGGTTAGACAATTTTTCTTTTTATATTTTTCACACAGAAACACAAGCACGAGTGAAGAGCGGCAACGTCGCGACCGCGCGCTGTTGCCCATTTTCAGCAATTCAACGTTTACATACGTTTTTTTTCTGCAATCGTTGTTGCTGTTTTTGTTGTTGTCGTTGTGTTTGTTGTTTGTCGTTGTTGTTGTTATTATTGCACCATGTGAAAAAAAATTGTTTTGGCAACTTGAAAAAAAAGGCAAAACAAAAAAAATAGCAACAATGAGAAAACTAATTTTTTTTTTTCTTTTTCTTTTTTTCTTCTTTTTTTTTTTGTTTTTTGGCAAACAATAAAAACAATTGAGAGCGTCGAAAACTTTTTGCTAGACACAAAATATTTGTTGACACATATTCTTGGCCCGTCTGCTGCTGCAAGCAAGGGCGGTGGGTGGTTGGGTGTGGCAGTATCTACAACAATTATATATATATATATATAGATATATATATATATATAATGTGTGTGTAAGTGTGTGTGTGTGTGTGTGTGTGTGTGAGTGAGTTTATTAACGAATGAAGCACGCACGAAATACAAACATATGTGTTTCGTGAATAAGTTGGGGCGGAGGGTGGTGAGGGGTTGTGTTGTTAATTATTCCATTAACAACTTGCACAAATTTTGATTTCTTTTGATTTCTTTTATGCATAAATTTCCTTGATTTTTTGTCGCTCTTCTTTCCATTATCCGCTTTAACACAGTGCTTTGATAGCAAACTTAAAAAAAAAATTATATATATATATATATATATATATATATTTAAATATCAGCACAAAACAAAAAGTATTTTTTTTATTTCATTTTTCTTTTCGTCCACACAACCTGCAATGAGAGAGAGAGAGAGAGAGAAACATTAGATTAGTTGCCAATTTGCGATAAGACACACAACACACAACAAATAGATCAAATGTAAAATGTAAAATGTAATTAATCAATTAACACGAACTCTCTAAGACACACCGAAGCTTAAAGACCCTTTCAGTTCTACTGGCAACTAAATTTTTAATACATTATTCATTTATATATTTAATATACACTATATAATTTCGCCAAATATATGTACATATATACTTTATAGTTTTAAAGATTCGGCAAGGGTAAAACACATGTTTTTTTCTATGCTCTAAAATATTATATAAATATATATCTTACTAATATGCTTTGTCCAAATTGAATCTATATGTATTCCCCTTGATACACTTTGGAATCACGACTATATTTCATCAATTTCAGTTTCTTTTTGTTTTTTGTTTTAATTTAAAGGTTAAATGAAGTTTGAATGCATGGCACACGTTTTCATAGGTAGATAATATTATTTTTTTGATGTTCAATGCATAAATAAATACACAAACCCGATGCAGATGTAGACATTATATATGAATACATATATCAATATGTAATCAGATTTCATTTGTACAAGTAATCGATTCAGAGATTAATTAAATCCGCATATATTTATTTCATTCAAATAATGTACATATTTACCTTTGTATGTATGTATCGTGCGTGAGTGTGTGTGTGAGAGTGTGTTACGTACTTAATTAGTCATAGTCAGAAATCAACGGTTTTTATCGCACACATCGCCATTCGTATGTTTGTTAAAGGTTTGATAGATATATGATGTATATAATAAGCTTATATTCAGGTTTTCTACTTTCAAGAGCTAAAGCCCAAAATTAGTACAAAATAACCATTTCTCTTGCTTGCTCACTCATAAACACACACACATATATATATACAGATACACACATACAGACACACAGACATCCGTTTGAGCTATTCCCAAGTTGCCGCTATAAGCGCGCGTGTTGCCTACGTGAAAAAGAACACAAAACAGAAAGAAAAAAAAAAACAGAAATCAGAAGCAGCCACAGAAAGCATAAGCCAAAGCAGAAACAGAAAAAGCTCCACCGGTGTCGACAAACTGGAAACTGAAGCGAGTCACATGTTTTGCCTTCTACTGCTGCCTGCTGGCTGCTGCCTGCTGCTGGTCAGCAAAAATTGTTGATTTGTTGTTTTTAATGAAAGCAATTAAACTGCATAGCCACAAATAAATAAAAAAAAAAAATAATAAATAAAAATTAAAAAAAACAATAACAACAATAACAAACAACAGCTGGCGTAACAACAACAACAATTCGCAATGCACACACAAACACACGCACACAGCTGCTGATAGCTATGGCAACTTTTAGTAAATTAAATTCACACTATGAAAATTGCACAGAAATTGAATTTAATTTAACCAAACGGCAAAAACTCTCACGCATACAAACACGAACACTCACTCACACACACACACACACACACACACACACACAAATACACACACAAACACACACAGAAAATTAAGCACAAAATTCCACAAACAAGCAAAAAAAAAATCAGTCAAGCGTCGCAATGAGCAAAAGCCAAGCTAAAGCAGCGACGTCGACAGAAATAAAAATATATACCGACCCAACAACAACAACGAGCACTTGCGACGTTGCCGTACTTCACAAACCCCAAAAGACAGAAAGCAAAAATAAAAAAAAAACGCAAGCACGCGTAAGATTAAAGCAGCGACAGCGACGGCAATGCCGGCAGCGACGCGAGCGTCGTCCAAATGCGCTGTTGACAATTTTCAGCAGCAGCCCCAGCGCAAACAAATTAATAAAAATAACAACACACGCACACCACTACCACCACCACCACCATCACCACGCCAATACCACCAACAACAACAACAGTCAGTCAGTCAGCAGCAGACGACGACAATATGAAAAAGAGGCTTAAAACTATACGTAAAAAGAAACAAGCAAAGCAAAAGCAGCGCAGCCAGCATCGATGCCAACAGCGTTATAATAATAATAATAGCATAAAAAGAAATTATAAAAAAAAACCAACTCAAAGCAAAACAACGAACGAAGGAAAAAAATGATGCCGCTGCTGCTGCCGCTGCTTCTGCTTCGACACAACATCTGCCAAGAGCGAAACTGCGAGACAGAGACGTGTAGAGCGCAATGCCCACGAGTCAGAGTGAGAGAGCTGCACTTGGCTATGGTTGGGGTTGGTGTTGGGGTACAACAACCAAACGAACGAACGAGCGACGAAACAACCAACCGTCTGTCAATTAGTCAGTCGGTCGGTCGGTCGGTCTGTCTGTCGATCTGTCGGTCGGCCGTTGTCGTTACAGAGGGAAGGCAGCGGGTGTGCAGTGCTATGGGCCACTGCTGAGGTTGAGCAAAAACAGAGAGCAATTGCTTTTGGGGAACTTGAAAGAACGAACGAACGGACGAGCGAACGTTCAAACAAACATACATATATATGTATGTGTGCGTGTGTATATACATGCATGCCATACAAATGCAAAAGCAAACAGCAGGCAGCGATGTTGCTGCGCAGCAAACGTCGTTCGTGTTGGTTTGGTTACGCGGCGCGCGGGTGACGCAACAGCAAGTGCAAGGCGGCGGGCAGGCAGCCTCGTTGGCAACTGAATACGATGCACACACACACACAAAAACTTATATATATATATATATATATATATATATATATATGTATATATATAAATATCTATGTATGCGCATACATACACATACATAAATACGAACACAAAACTCGCAACGTCATAGCAGTCGAGCAACAAAACGAACGAAAGAATGACAGACAGACGAACCGACCAACCGACCGACCGAACGACCGACCGACCGACCGACCGAACACCAGTCGGTGAGTCGTGCATAGTGACGTGCACAAAAATCCCCCGAACATCGCTGCAAAACGTTGTGTATATATTCGTATGTATGTAGGTATGTATGTAAGTATGCTTGTCTGTAGCTGGAAATGTGTATATATGTGTGTGTATGAAAAATGATAGGGAGACGGAGAAGCAAACGAGTCTAACGAGTAGAACGCAGCAATAAACACGGTCAGGACGGGACGGGCAGGGGATGTGCGGGTGTGCGCAAGGTGAAACGTAAAAAAATACCGTGTGTAAGAAAAAGCAGACACACACACACACACAGACACATAAACATGGGGACTGTATAATAATAATAATAATTGTGGAACATTGGCGCGCTGGCATAAAGTCCACACACACATATGCATGTGTGCACAGTTTTGCCAGTGTGTTTCGTGTGGGCGTCAAAGCAGGCGACGGGGGCGCAGCAGCAGCAGCGCAGCGAGAAATATGTACAGTAAAATATTCACAACGCCGAAAACGAAAAGGCAAATGAAACGAAACGAAATAAAAAAAATAATAATAAAATAATAAAAACGAAACGAAACGAAAAAAAAATCACGAGT